CACACCCCTTCCCGCTGCCTCCGCTCATCAGAAGCCAACCTCCTATCCATCCCCCCCCACATCAATCACCGGGCCTGGGGGGACAGAGCCTTCTCCGTCGCTGCCCCCTCCCTCTGGAACTCACTCCCACAACCCATCAGAGACTGCACTGACCTCACCACCTTCAAAAAACTCACAAAAACTCACCTCTTCAAACTGGCTTTTAATGTGTGATTGTTTTTGTATTATTTGACTTTAACTTTAACTATATATTTATTTGTTGTTCCTTTATTTTCACTATATCTGTAAAGCGTGTAAAAGCACCAACAAAATAAATCTATTATTATTATTATGAAATGTCTGAATATTGAGACCCAGGAAAGACTGAACTGAACACATTGGTAGCATTTCAAAAACAGTTGTATAGAAAATGCTCAGAAATGATGCTTTGGATAGATAAGAACAAGGTCTTTATTACTAGAAATATAAAACTTGTCAGTGAAAGGATTAGGAAATGAAGGTTGAGAGAGAAATGAAGGTTGAGAGAGAAATGAAGCGTACCTTTTTCCACTGCACGGTGTGTGTAGCGGAGCCCTTGGTCTTACACTGCCACTCCACCTTGTCTCCGAGCATCACTACTTGAGGCTCGGCGGGGATCACGCTCACAGGATCGATGTCTGACAGACAAAACAAATTAAAAGCATTTTAGAGAGAGAGAGGGAGGAAGACACGAGAAACCTGAGACCTTCTATGCAGTCTAAGGAGTTAGAGACGTGCCACTTGAAATCGAGGCTTCTCCTTCCTTTAACTACCAAGTGTTAAAGTGACCTTACTAAGCAGATTGTAAGTACAAAAGCTAAAGCACTTACTCTATAGTTAAGCCAATTTCAAAGCCAAGCCTGTTCTATGCTATTTCTAGTCTATCTCTGCTTCATTTCTGGAATAAAATCAAATTAGGCAGCGCAGTTGGGATAACATTAAAGTAACAGGTGAACTGTGAAAAATTGAATTGTTAATCCTGAAAGGGTTCTCTTTCAAACTCTTTTAATTGTATGATTTACTAAGGCTTTAACTGCACGGACGGTCAATTGTTCTTTATGTGTATTTACTCAGTTCTGAAGCTGTGTGTGTGTGCTTGTGTGTTTTTGGCTCACTCACAGTTGACATTAAGGGTGATGGCTCCACTTAGGTCAGCATCCAGGTTATCAAAATCTGTGGCTGTGCACTTGTACACACCAGCGTCTGTGCGCTTGACAGATTTCAGGGTCAGGACACCCCCCACACCATTGATAACTTTATCCTGAAAGTGGAAGGACAGGGATTGGCAGAGAGAGGCATGAGTAACACTTAGTTGGAGACGACAAATGTGAAATTCGAAAAGCACAAGCAACAAACAACAAAGAAGTGTGTATTTCTCACAAACTCAAATACACACGTACATCGTGAGTGAAGTCAAACTCAGGCTGAGGGTTTCCGTCGGTCTCACACTTCATGGTGACAGCATCGCCCTCTTTGACTGGTTCAGTGTTGAGAAGGGAAAAGGTCGCTTTCTCAGAGGGATCTGGACGGACAAGAGCAGACATGGAACAGGTGAAAATTCCTCCTTTGGATACTTTACACTGTTGTAGAGTAAGTCATCAATCAGAGATGTGCCAGGCATTCCTGAGGGGATGTTTTACTTTTCCATTACCTCCTCTTTCTTTGCCTCATCATTATCTGAATCAACTTTAGCTGGAGGACAGATTTGATTTGAAGATAAAGCTAAAGGCTGTTTGTTGGCAATCTTTAATCCCAAATGGCTTGTGTTTTTATTAAAAAAGAAATAGGATCCAGAGGATAGGAGACAGGGATAGGCTTGAACATAATGCATACACAAATACATTCCCTTTCTACCGCCTTTTTAGGCTATTTATGAATGTCACAGTCTATTGTTGTTGTGCATGCCTAAATATCTCAATACCAACTGGATGGGTCTATCTTAAAATCGTGTTCATACATTCATCGTCCCCAGAGGATACATCCTAACAGCCATAGGGTTAACCTGACTTTTCCTGAAGAATGTTGACATGTGTTGCTTTGAGTGACATGCCTTGACAACTATTGGCCGGATTGCTATGTAAACTTTTACATGTTCCCCTCAGGATCAATTGCTACACTTTGTAGCCCACTAACTAAATAATAATCACTCTCATCAACACTTTAGAACTAGCAAACATTATACCTACAAAAACATCAGCATGTTAGCACTCAGCTCAAAGAAAAACTGAAGTAGGCTACAGCTGCTAGCATTGCTGTGTTGACTGTTTCACTAAAATATGGATCAAAGATCACTTAAATCACTATTTTATGGCATTAATGAATAAATCATAATATGCAATTATTCTAAATGTCAATAAGTAAAAAACTAGCTAAAAAAATTATAACGACTTTGGTGATGCTGGTTTATGACCTCAATTTAAAAAAAATAGCTTGACATTTTGGGAAATATGCTCATTTAGTTTGTCTCTGGGAAAAACAATCATGTCTGTCCAGCTAATATAACACTGGAAACAGGTGGAAAATGCTAACCTAGCTCTATCCAAAGGTGACAAACCCCACCTTTTAGCACACTCTAAAGCCCACTCACTAATGATTATCCCTCCACTCACAGTTGAGGTTGATGGTGATGGTGTTGGACATCTTCTGCAGGATCGCGCCTCCGGGCATACTGTACTCCACGACGCAGTGGAACACAGAGTCCTTGTCGGCCTTGGTGGGCTGCATGTACAGGTCGCTTCTGGCAGATTTCAGACCGGACGCCTCCTTCACCACAGAGGGAACCATGTGGGTCTCTGACGGAGAGGAGGGAAGGAAGCACACAGATTATCTTCAGCATGTGATATTAGGTATTAGATAACCCAACCAACTATGTGCAATATGCCGTTAATCACTGTGCAATATATACCTGGCTGCTAAATCCTCAGAACTGTTACAGGATGTGTATTTTGTAAATTGTGTATTTTTGTATCTTTAATACTTTTGTATCCATGCTTCTTAGGGAACATTAACCTGACTCAAAGTCTGAACAAACAGACTCAAAGACAGTTTTTTCCCAAGAGCCATCATGGCACTAAACTCCTGAACTCATAGTCCTTAATCATCCTCCATGTGCAATAAACGTGACTGTGTATATATATCATTATTATAAATACGTACCTATAATTATTTAATACATTTTTTTGTTATACCCCTGGAAATAATTACTGCACTTTATTCTTTATTCTTACATAAGTATGTATGCTGCGTATATTTGTTGTTGTATGTTGTGATGTTTTTGTTGTGATGGCACCTTTTAAAAGGGAGAAGCTTTTCTTTCTTTCATTGCACATGTATAATGACATTAAATGATTCTATTCTGTCTTTGGCTCTTTTCTGCTGTAACAATGTAAATGCCCCCTCTGTGGGACTAATAAAGGTATTCTGATTCTGATCCTGATTTGCTTTACTGTGTTCATGAAATTCTAATAAGGGACACATACTCTCATTCCTGTCCTTGNCCGCCGCAGGTTTATATGTACGTAATCTGCGCGACTTGCGCGTCCACATCTCCACGTGCAGTGCTGCATAAACATGGCTGAGTCAGCGATAACTTTCGAGGGGTGCAGGTATGCCCATTATTTTGAGTTTGTCCGAAGAATAGACAGGAATGTGACGGTGAGGTGCGAACTGTGTCCAGGCCAGAAGCTGTTATCCACTGCTGTAAACACCACGTCAAACCTGTGTCAAACCTCAACAAACACCTGCAAAGAACACATGCTAAGGTGAAGCTAATAGCTAAGGTTTGTACATTTAGTTTTATACAGGCTATTTATTTGTAAAGTATTTGTTTATTTTGCCAGTTTCACATCACATTGATATGGCCCACTTGTTCCGTTATTACAATTTTTCTCTTGAAATGCTCTTTACGTTTCACAGACTGTTAGCTTGTTGTGGTAGGCTTGTAGCCTATTTTATTAAAGAGCATATCAAAAGAAAGACTTGTGTTATGTCTTCCTTATTGCAATAGTAATTGGGGGTGCAAGTGGAGTCTCGCAGAGGCAAAACTGTAACACGCTTACGCTGTAGGTGCGCCGCAGTCTGCGTGATCTGCCTTTAGGGAGGGGCGGCCCTGCGAGTAAAGTAACGAGTAAAGTAACAAGTAACGAAGTAGTGTAATATATTACCTTTTTTTTAAAGTAATATGTAATATGTAATATATTACTTTTTTTTAGTAACAACCCCATCTCTGCACATATTTATGTATAAAAGACATCACAAAGTGCATTTTGCATGATAGGTCCCCTTTAAATGTTCCATTTATTCTGTAAATGGATATAAAGTTCAAGGTTTTTCGTGATCTTTTCCCATGTGAGGCACTTCAATGAGCAAACTATGCATAATTAGAAACTAATTATGCAAAGTATTTATGTTCCTTTCAAGCTCGCTGTAGAAATACAACATCCTGTTTTGTGTGTCGCTGGATTTTGGCCACAACAAAAGCCAACTGAAATAACAAGGTCAAATATAAAAGAAAGAACAAAAGTCCAATAAGCCTGGCTTTGAATCTACATTTAAAATGAGCCACACAATGATGCAATTGTATGGACATTAAGACTCTTATCTTGGACACATTTTTAAATGAACACAAATGTATTGTAATCTTGGGAACACCTTACTTGTATAGATGGTAGCCACTGCCTTCCTAAGGTTGAAAGTCAAGAGACACTTTGGTTTGTAGCACGGGCAAGTCACTGTTGTGGAGATATGAGGCTAAGCAGTGAGCAGGCCCTGCCACCTTAGCTTTGATTCCTGGGCTAAGTATGTACAGATATCTAAGGTGTTGACACTTCGCCCTCTAAGCCCTATTTCTTTCCCCAGGGATCAGTGAGGCTCACTGATAGCAGATTATCTCTGCGGCAGTTTGTGGCCCAGTTGGCACCCTCATTTGTTATCTGCTCACAGATACACTGAGGAACACTCTGTGGAGAGAGAGAGAGAGTGAAATGTCAGAATAAAACATCTCAGACATATTCACTTCTTCTCTTTGTTATTCCATGTATTGTGCAGATGTCTGTGAAGTAATATACAGTTCAACCAAACTGCCATCAGTACTTGTGTGGATATTGCACAGAAATGCAGTTCAGTATGTCCACTGTCAGAATTGGTGTTGAAATATCTTTTGAAATATGGGACACAGGCATTGGATAATAAGTGAAGATGCTTAAAGATTATGTTACATATACATACAGTGAGGTCTTAAAACAATGTAACATGTATGCATGTTGTGGTGCCTGTTTAACTGAGTGTTTGATGAACCTTCAGATTATGTGATAATGTTGTGCACAATGTATTTTTTGGGCACCATCAACTATTTAAGCTAAGATCTTTTAAGAAATCTCTTTACCTATTTATTTTTTTATTAAATTATATGTTGATTTCATTATTATTTTGTATCATGTACAAATTATCAGTTTTTATTGATTATTAGTAGTACTGTATGGACAGCACTGGAAGTTTCAATAAACAAAACTATATATTTATTTAGATAAAGCAACTAGTCATATATCTTTCTTTATGAACAAGTGGTAAATGGGCTGACAAGATGAAAACAAATGTGTTGGGAATGATGATTTAAAAAAAAATCAATTAACTGTTGATTTATACTAGGACTGTCCCGAATACCATTTTTCGGGCTCCGGATAATTGGTAGTAATCAGCAGCAAATATTCGGATATTCGGGGCGCGCGGGGGATAGTAATCAGCAGTGAATATTCGGTGCACGTGCATGTTTTTATCATGTGTAACGTTACTGTTTAAACGGCGGATAAAGCAGCTTCATCATGGCAACTGGACAACAGCTAAGCTAAGCTACTACTTACAGCATTCAGGTGACTTTTCATAGTGCCCAGAGTTTAGAATTTTCTGTTCTATGTCCGTTAAAGTTGAAATCTTCCGGACAAAATTAGAAAAGTGCCGGTCAAAGGTCTTCTTTGTTATTTATTGAGCTTTAAAACAAATTGATATGATTCGATATTAAACCAACTAATTATATTAGATTAACGACATTATTCAAATGTGTACAGTAACTTACAATAACACGGGAATAATAAACGGAGCGCTCTCTCCCTCTCCTGACAGCCCGTCAGTATACGTCTCCATGGCCCGGCTTCAACTGGAACCTTCCCAGGTTAAAATGGTTTTTTTTCAGTTGGCCGTGATGTGGGAGGTTTAATTTTTTCAGCAGTGTGTTGTGGCGAGGTTGTTTTCCCAGTGTGAAAATGGAAGAGGTATTTTTCAAGTTAGTTGTGGTGGTTGGCGGAGGGGCCCAGAAAATGTTTTTCAGTAAAAGTTGTGGTGAGCGTGGGTCGTAGTGGGAATGTGAGAGGGGACTTTTCAATATGGTGTTAATGCATTGTGCAAAGGCCCCAGATGTGTTAAGTTAGTTAGATGTTGTGAGGGTTGGTTTCTGTAGAAGGTGGAGGGAATTTTTCAAAGTGTTGGGTATGGTGGGGGAGGTTTCATTTTTTTCCCAGTAGTAAATGTGTGAGGCTTAAATTTTCAGTGTTGGGTGTTGGGTGGGTGAGGTGTTTCAGTAGGTGAATGGGAAAAGGAAAGTATTTTCAGTAAGTGTTGGTGCAAAGGGCCAGAAATGTTTTCCAGTAGTGTGTGTTGTTGTGTGTGGGTTGGTGAGGTGTTTCAAGGTAGTGGGAAGGTGGAAGGGGAAGGGATTTTTTCAGTAGTGTTTATCAGGCCCAGATGTTTTTCCAAGGTCCAGTGTGTGGGTGCCGAGGTTAGTTTTTTGGAAAATTTTGGGCCCTACAACGGCCCTTTCCTCAAACAGCTTCACCGCTGCAAAGGTGATCATGCCAGAGGCTTGCGTGCCCGACTTCCGTCCCAGCAGCAAGCTTTGATTCTCTCTCCGTCAGATTAGAACTTCCCGCGTTTATGTCCCATATCCGAATCAGAATCCTATGCTTAGTTTGTTCAGCCCCCCTTAAATTTGAAAATATTGAAACCTAAACCTGCTTATCAAAAAGACCATCAAAACATAAGCCCGTTGGCCTATGCAACCGGGGGGTTTTGGAGGCCCCCGCAAAAAGTATAGCGCAGCCCCATTTATGCATTGGGGTTTAATGCCCCCCGGAAAACCCCTGGGGAGCTATTACCACAGATCTTCAACGCACAAGCAACCCATAAGACAGGACCACTTCCCCTTTCCCTCCAACAAAATTAAATTCATATACCATTAAGAAACTGACCTTATTCTTCCGTCACTACTATACCTTGTCCTGTTCACTAAGTGGGCGGCACCTTGAATGGTCGTATTGTGGCTTAAGGGGGAAAAATAATTTTTGGACGTCGGAGGAAGAATTTAGATTTCGCCGGTCCTAAACATATTTTTTACCGGTCCAAAGTCGGTTATTATCCGCGGCGCCCAACGGAAAACCGCCCCGTTGTGCCCACCGTGTAAGGCCCAGTTTCAAATTCATAATTTTGGGCAACACTTGCGCCTTTCCGTCGTATCCGTCGTATTCGTCGTATCGTCCGTCCAATTTAAATGGTCCCCACCAACAAGCTGAAGTCCGCCCTTCGGCATTATTTCTGTTTTTCCGGTTGGTGAAGCCCGTGGGACGTTTCGCGTCTCGATCCTCT